TAAAAGTTCTCTCTCTCTCTCTCTCTCTCTCTCTCTCTCTCTCAAAAAAAAAAAAGTTTAAAAAAAAATAATTTCTCCTAGTGTAGATCCCTTTGAGAATGTATCCAGAGCAAAGACCCTGTCCCCATAAGTTTTCTTTTTATCTTTGAAAAAAATGCCTTTTTTGATATAGAATTTTATTATATTTTGTTTTTTTTAATATGTTTTCTTTTTTATCTTATTTTTTTAAGTTGTAGATGGACACAATACTTTTATTTATTTGTTTTTATGTGGTGCTGAGGATTGAACCCAGTGCCTCAGGTGTGCTAAGGAAGCTCTCTACCACTGAGCTACACCCCGAGCCCTGTCTTTATTTTCTTTTACATATTGTTTTTCATTCTGTTAACATTTGGCTTATGTTGATGGTATTGAGAAGTTAGCCTTGGTATTAGTTTCTGTCAGGTATTCAGTGGTTTTGCCAGTCATTGATAAACTGCATTTATTTGTGGCTCCTTATCTTATCCAGGTTATGAAAACCTAAGATGCCAGTGTATGCCGGGTTTCAGTTCTCTGGCTGAAAGGCTCAGGGGTCACTCCAGTTGAACTGGGCTAACTGGGCTGCACAAAATCACCACATAAGAGACACAAATACCTTTTTCTTTGGGGTCGCTGAGACAGCTCCTCTGACCTTAAATCCACAGGAAGAGAGAGAACAAGAGCATGCGCTGACCCCTTTTATTGAGGAGAAGCTATTCAAATGAGGCAAGGGGTCAGATTTCAGGGGGCTGAGTCTATCTTCATGATGTCCACTGTCAGCAGGTTGACTGACACCTGGGTAGGCCACACCCAAGGGCACAGTAAGGAGGGGCTATAGCAAGACACACCCGTGCAAGAGCCACTGACCCTCGAATCCAAGAAGGATGGGGAAAGCTCTGCCACATTTCTGTGACTGAGCACCCCAGCACCCAGCTGGGGAGTGTGACTCAATCATGTGTAAGGTTGGTCTCCTATAAGTGTATGCTAAGGTCATTTTGTGACTGTAATAAAAAAGAGTTTTCTTACCTTTTTTTTTTTTTTCCACCTCAACACCAGGACAGGCTTTAGTATAGCCCTCTGAGGTAGTGAAAAATTTGGGGAATGATTTAGATCTGAGAGACATGGTGGAATGTCTTTTTTTAAAAATATTTTTTATTTATTTTTCAGGTGGCGCTGAGGATTGAACCCTGTGCCTCATATGTGTGAGGCAAGGGCTCTACCACTGAGCCATAGCCCCAGCCCTGGAATGTCTTCTTGTAAGACAATTTTTGGAAGATTCTTGGCTCTGATTTTTGTCCCCCTGGCCCTATGTGGCTCTTGCATTGAAACTCAAGATTAGAACCTCTCAGATCTGATGATCTTGTTATGCAGATTATGACTGAAGATTTAGGGTGGAATCCAGATTTTGGGTTTTAATCTTTGAGGTGATTCTGATTCTGTTAATTTCCAGATCATATTTTAAGTCACAAGGAGTTAGACCGTATTATATGTTTGATCAGTTAGTGGTATAAATGATGTTAGTGGTGGAATGAGCATCTAATGAATTTTTTTAAGCAGTTTTGGGTTGTTAGATAAAATCACAGGATGCCATTTTTTTTTGGACTAAACTACTGCACTTACGCCTCTACAGATCAGGCTAACTATCAAAATGGACTGCAGGGCGTGGTGGCGGAGATTTGTAATTCCAGTGATTTAGGAGGCTGTGAGGCAGGAGAATGACTAATTCAAAGCCAGCTTCAGGAATTTAGTGAGGCCCTAAGTAACTTAACAAGACCTTGTTTCAAAATTAAAATAAGGGCTGGGGATGTAGTCAGTGGTTAAGTCCCTGCGTTCAATCCATGGTACCAAAAAAAAAAAAAAATCAAAATGGAGTTTCTCACATTATAGTTGCATGTTATTAAGTTAAAACTAAGTTTTGGGGGCTGCGGCTGTGGCTCAACGCTAGTGCACTTGCCTGGCACTGGCATGAGTGAGGCACTGGGTTCAATCCCTGTCATTACATAAAAATGATAATAAAAATAACATGAAATAAAGGTATTGTGTCTATCTACAATTAAAAAAATATATTTTTAAAGAGTAAAGTTTTATCAACAACTAAAAAGAACAAAGTTGTTTTATTTGACCTCCTTGAGAAATGAAGAGTAGAGAGATAACTAAATTTCCCATACAGGCCAGTTTCAATTGACAGGATAATGAAGTTTAACCTGCTTTGTTAACCTGAAGGTATCCTGAAGTTATCTGATACTAACCAATATCTCTATTTGTCTCCCTGGCCCCTCCTAACAAGGAAAGTAACTTTGGGAAAGGACCAGTCCACTTGTGTTTCTCTTTTTTTCTTTTTTGTTTATAATACCAAACTCCTCTGCTAGGCTCATTTGAACATTTTATTCAATTTTATGGAACAGAGTTATTTGATTTTAGTATAAGAAAAATAAAGCCAAATGCTTACTTTGGCAGCACATATACTAAAATTGGAATGATGCAGAGGAGAGTAACATGCCCCTGTGCAAAGATGACACACAAATTCGTGAAGTAGTCCATATTTTTATGTACTTTTGGAAGTTAATAAGGAGAGTCTGAGGGGCTGGGGTTGTGACTCATCAGTAGAGCGCTTGCCTCGCATGTGTGAAACCCTGGGTTGTATCCTTAGTACCACATAAAATACATAAGTAAAATAAAGGTATTGTGTCCAACTACAACTAAAAAATAATTAGAAAAAGGAGAGTCTGATTTAGGTTTTTTTTTTTTTTTTTTTAAAGCCAATAAAGTGGTAGGGATATAGACCAGTTGTAGAGCTCGTGCTTAGTATTCAATCCCCAGTGCTGTAAAACATAAAAAATAAAATAAAGCCAATTAATTGTAATTTGCTTTTTTATGAGATTTAGAGAAAAATTAAGCTTAAGGTGCAGAATTCCTATGTACTCCTCTTCTCTCCCCTATTAAAATCTTGCGTAAACGTGGTACATTGTTACAATTGATGAGCTGCTGTTAATGTGTTATCATTAAATGAAGTCCATAGATTACATTAGGGTTCACTCATGGTGTTATACTTTCTATGGGTTTGGAAAAATGTGTAATGATATATATACAGGTTAGTTTTACTGCCCTAAAAAAAATCTCTGTGATACACTTATTTATCCTTCCCATCTGTTGGCAGTCACTGATCTTTTTTTTAAATATTTATTCTTTTAGCTGTAGGTGGACACAATATCTTTATTTCATTTTTTAAAATATTTATTCTTTTAGCTGTAGGTGGACACAATATCTTTATTTCATTTTTATTTGGTGCTGAGGATCGAACCCAGTTCCTCTCATTTGCTAGCTGAACACTCTACCACTGAGTCACAATTCCAAGCCCTTGTCTTTTTTTTCTTTTTGGTGTTGGGAATTGAAACCAGGGACTCTTTACCACAGATCTATATTCCCAGTCCATTTTTAAAAATTTGAGACAAGAGTCTCACTAAGTTGCTTAGCACCTCACTGTTGCTGAGCCTGCTTTGAACTCGTGATCCTCCTGTTTCAGCATCCTGAGCCACTGGGCCCAGTCCTTTTTATTTTTATTTATTTATTTACCTTTGGTACTGGGGATTGAACCCAGAGGTATTCTACCACTGAGCCACATTCCCAGCCCTTTTAATTTTTTTAAAATTTTGAGACAGAGTCTTGCTAAATTGCTGAGGATGGCTTTGAACTTGTAATATTCCTGCCTTAGCCACCTGAGTCACTGCGATTATAGGTGTGTATCACCACATCTGGCTTTAGTTTTCATTTTGAAACAGGATCATATTAAGTTGCCCAGGTCAGCTGTGAATTTGTAATCTTTCTATCTCAGCCTCCTGAATCACTGGGATTATAGGCATGGACCACTTACCCAGCCTAAGCAGAATAAGACAGTGAAACAGTTAATTGTAAAATTGTTCAGCCACCTTGGAAAACAGTTTGGCAGTTTGCCTAGGAGTATAATTACTGGGCTAAGTGTTAGTTGTATATTTACTTTTTAAAGAAAGTGCCATTTATATTGATATAATATTCTAGAAGTACAGTCTACTCAAGTGGTCTCCAATGACACTGAAGTTGGGTACCTTGTGATAAAATTTCTAGCTACCTGACATGCTCTTCTGTGACTATACTGCAAGGGGTGTTGAGTGACTTGTTACATCTTGAAAGGGTGGGAGTATAGGTTTCCAGTTGGCCTTTGCTAGCATGGGTAGGGTTTGGACCACAGTATTTTCTGTGGTGTTTGGCTGGAATAGCTTGATTATGAGCTAAAATTTTCCTGTCTTGCTAGACTGATCCTTTGCTGGTCCTTTCATAGAAGAAAACTGACTTTTGTTGGGACTTTTCTTGTTTGCATTTTTTTGATTTTTTTTTTTTGCATTTATGTATTGGTGTTTTTTAGTCTTAGGAATGAAAAGAAAGGTTAGGGATCAGTGATAGAATGCTTGCTTACCATGTGTAAGGCTGTGAGTTCAGTCCTGCGTATCCCCTTGCCCCACCACCAAAAGGGTGCTTTTCAAAATGCTATTTTGATTAAAATTCTTGTTCATATTTTCCATAATATTGTAAATAGGGCTATTATACTTTTCAGAAGAAAATCTGAGATAATAATGGCTTTCTTGGAGAAAATAGGAGTTATTAGCAGTTCATTTCAATGAACCCTAGCATTAGTTTTCTGCTAGAATTTGCAAAACATAAACCAGAATGATTAAGTCTTTTCCATAGCATAATGTTTTCTAATTGCTGTGTAATATACTGCCAGATGTTCAGATTTATTTGGAAACTTAGATTTCATAATTGGGATTTTTAGTATTAGCTAGGTTTACGTAGTAGGTCAAATTAAAATTTGCTATTCTGTTTTCTTGTACTGTACATAATCTTTTTCTTAGTATGTTGTAGATAACTGTGGTATAACTCATAGAAATCGATAATTATAAAATGACTGTAAATGTGCATAGATGTAGAAGCATATAATATTTGGAGTTTTAGTTTCTGTTTCTTCAAAGATGAAAGTATATATGTTATAATTTGTTTAGGAAGGTATTTTTCAACCTCAGATGGAATTGAAATGTATTATTAGACATGAAAAAGAAAGTTTTTTTTCCTGGTATTTGGGATTAAACTTGGCCTTGTGCATGCTAGGCAAGCACTCTATGAGTGAGCTATAGGTCCAGCCCCCAGGGTGTTTTTTTTTTTGTGTGTGTGTATGTGTGTGTGTGTGTGTGTGAGAGAGAGAGAGAGAGAGAGAGAGAGAGAGAGAGAGAGAGATTGATTTTGCAGATTGAACCCAGAGGTACTCTACTATGGAGCTATATTCTCAGCCCTTTTTATTTTGAGACAATCTTGCTAAGTTGCCCAGGCTAGCCTGGGACTTGTGATCCTCCTTCCTCAGTGGCATGAACAGATGGGATTATAGGTGTGTTGACACTGCCCTGTATTCAGTGATTTTTAGTATTTTCAGAGTTGTGTATCCATCACTGTAAAACGTTTTAGAACACTGTCATTACTCCCCGCTTCTTCTCCCCACCCCAAACCCAAGCAGATCCATTTCCTAGCTATTACCCCACCCAATCCTCTATCTCCCTTGATTTCCAGCCTCAATTTTTTATAGTTTTTAATTGAGAGGGGATGGAAGTGTGATTTTGCTTCTTTGGAAACATTTGACAATGTCCAGAGACAGTTTTCATCCTTATAACTGGGAAGGTGCTCTTGGTATCTAGTGAGTACAGATAACCAAGAATACTGGGAAGCAACTTCAAATGTGAGAACAACCTCTTACAACAAAGAATTATCTATCCACGACCTCAATAGTAAAAACGTAGGGCTGGGGTGTTGGTTAGTGGTTAAGTACCCTGGAGTTCAATCCCTGGTACCAAAAAAAGTAAAAGAGTTGAGAAACTCTGGTCTGGGTGGTAATTAGACTAAATAATTAAATCAGTGTTTTAGTCCTTATGTTAAGAGTAGGATATTGTCTTACATGGTAGCTTTATGAGTTATATAAAATCTTTGAATGTGTTGAAGGTACACAGTTAAAAAAAAAGATTCTAGGGACCTAAGGGACTCAGTCTTTCTAGTATATTCTAATAATAATATGGGCATACTGAAAGCAGTGAATCCTAGTCCCAAATGTGCCTAGGAGGGCTGGGGCTGTAGCTCAGTGGCAGAACACTTGCCTAGCATGTGTGAGGCACTGGCTTCAATCCTCAGCACCACATAAATATAAAATAAAGATATTATGTCCATCTATAACTAAAAAATAAATATATATATAAAAGAATGTGCCTAGGAATCCAATGTTATATTTTATTTCAAAGAAATTACTTTTTAGAAGTAATTTTATAAGTCTCAATAGTCCTATAAGGAATTAGAGACTGATTGTATCATGCTTCCTTTGCAGATTTGTGAATCTGTGTTGTGTGTTTTGAAATTGAATAGTTTTTGGAGGTGATACTAGTTAATTAGATAAAATATGACTCTAAGATGTTTGTTATCCTTCCTTCTTTGTTAGATTTGGATTGTATAATTTTAGGAGGTATGAAGGATTAAAGAAAGGTGAAAGTCATGCTAGGCTCTACCACTGAGCTATATACCTCAGCCCCCATTCCTTCTTTTAAATTTATATATATACACACATACATACACATACCAGGGATTGAATTCAGGGGTGGTTAACCACTGAGCTATGTCTCCAGCCCTTTTTTATTTTGAGACAGGTTCTCTCTAAATTGCTTAGGGCCTCACTAAATTGCTGAGACTAGTCTCAAACTTGCAATCCTCCTGCCTCAGCCTCCTAAATTTCTGGGATTATGGGCATGTAACACCATTTATAATAATATTATTATTATTATAGTACTAGGGTTTGAACCCAAGGGTATTTAACCACTGTGCCATGTACCCAGCCCCTTTTTATTTTGAGACCCCTGTCGCTAGTTTGCTTTCAACCTCGATAAGTTGCTGAGGCTGGTTTTGAATGTTCAATCCTCCTGCCTCAGTCTCCCAAATTGCTGGGATTATAGATGTATGCTACCACACCCAGCTAAATTTATAGATTATTGAGAAAAATTGGAAATGTAATTTGTGGAGACAGTAAACTTTCCTTGTAGGGGAATTATAGTGATTCTTTGAAGTGAATTTTACAGTTGAACTCACTTCTAGAAATCTATAAATGTGAAATTTTCTAAATTATAAAATAATTTTAAAATGTAACACAGGCTATAGTATTTTTTAAAAAAATTTTATTTGGGAAGCTGGGCAGGAGGATTGCAAGTTTGAGGCCAGCCTGGGCAACTTAGTGAGACCCTGTCTCAAAATTAGGGGCGGGGTGGGGGGAAGAAAAGGAAAAAGGGTTGGGGGTGTTGCTCAGTGGTACAGTGCTTGCCTAGCATGCACAAATCCCTCCATTTTAGTTCCCAGCACTGCCAAAGGAAAAAGACACACACAAAAAAAACCCTATAAAAACATTTGTTGGAAACTCAAATTAAACAACATTGAGAAAAATCAAATAGTACAGGAATATTAAATTAAAACTGAAGTTTCTCTTTCCTACTCTT